TGTCACAAATGGGCAACCTGGGCTGAGAAGCACCGAGCAGGAGGCCTGTGGACAACAGGGTTTCCAGTGGACCGACTCACAGCTGAGTCCCCCAGGGCAGTCCTTTGGCCTGTGAGCCCGAAGGTGACTCACCTGTCAGGCTCAAGGGCAGGTGCCTTCTCCCGGCTCTTGACTCTGTGCTGTGCCACTGGCCATCTGCTCTGAGGAGCTGTAGGTGGCGATGTTTTGATTTTTTAAAAAATGAGGTAAATTTGTAAATGACTATTTATTTTTGTCTCTATACTTGTCTTCTGCTATCTTTGAAATTTGCAACTTCCCATGTATATTTAAAAAATAACCATGTGTAAGGTGATGGAGATTGACATGAAAAACAAGAAAAATAATAAAGCCAAGGGGGGGGGGAAGCTGTCTTCGCACACCCAGTAGTGGCGAACACTGGTCTTTGGTTCCGAAGTTGGCGGGGGGCGTTAATACTTGACCACCGTAAATGTTCCTCCTGCTCTGCAGAAAAGAGAAATGCCACCGCGCCTGCTTGTCACGTCTTAGGAAAAGCAGACCCTGTTCCCAGCCTAGGTGGCCTTTCCTTCCACAAAGGCCAGGATCCTTGTGGCTCTTGGTTTCTCAGTGTGCGTTTTCTTGGATCACTGACATCAGAATAAGCAGGGCTGTTAAAATGCACATGACTGGGCCCCACTCTCTGACCTGTGGAGTCTCTGGGGCTGGGGAACTTGCTCTTGTCACAACCCACGTGACCCTCACGCAGGCAGAGTTTGAAAACGGCTCTGTGACTGCTGAGCACCAGTCATGCCTCCAGGCCCCCAGACAAAGAGGCTTTGCAGACAGTGGGCGCTAGCGTTACATGGTGGTTTTTGGCTCCGCGTTCACGTTAAGCTTGGAGAATAATGCCTGTCCGAATGGGGCTGCAGGGCCCTGGGGGCCCTCCCTGAGTGCTGGGGGACAGCACACCCCATGTGGTTTTCTGCAGCACTTACACACGACTGCAATAAAAACGGGGACACAGAGTCTTCCTGGTGTCAGGCGGGTGGGCGCTTGCTTTGCAGCCACAGCACCCTGAGCTTGGACGCAGTGGGGCTTTGCTGTCGGGACACGAGAACTTCTGACAGGAGGTGTCCACACCCTGATCATTAGTAGCGGTTGGCCAGAAGGTCAGCTTCCTGGACATTGCTGGGAAATGCAGCCGCGTTCCTTCAGTCTTGGTCCGACCCTTCCCCGTTCTGATCAGCGAAGTCGCCTGATTTCAGTCACAGGCTCCTCTGGGCCATTGTGTGTCATGCTTGCACGTTTCATTTCCGTCCTTTCTTCTCTCTGGCCTTGGGTTCCCAAGATGCCGGGCAGCAGAGAGCCCCTGAAATGGAGCTTGCACCAGCGGAGGTGCAGGGCTGCAGGTGTGGGCTTCCTGCTTTTCTGGAGGGCGGATCAGGGCTTCCAAAAGGTTCATTGCCCTTTGACCCCGGCTGAGAATTTGCATTTCCAGCCCAGATGGACTGAATCTGAATCTACAGGGTAACAAGATTGCCAGGTGATCATTATGTATGTAGGTCTACAGAAGAGTCACCCGGGGATCTTGTTGCATGCAGATCACAACCTTGGAAACCCTATGGGGCAGTTCTGCTCTGCCCAGCAGAGTTGCTATGAGTCAGAATTGACTTGATGGCGTTTTTAAAATTATATAAATTATTATTACTACAATGGATGGTTTGAATAACTGGGATCTTTTTCCTTTGCAGGAGGCTCTGGCATCACCAAACACGAAGATGATTTCATCCGTAGTCATTTCACAGCTAATTGACAAGAACACATCAAGGGGAAATGGACTGGTGGTGCCAGGGCCGCACACCATTGCCCAGCCTCACAGGCGCCATGTGAAGCCATATTTGGCAGATCACAGTGGCGTGGACTTCCACGGGGCATTAGCGTTGCTTCCCCAAAGGTTAAGAATTCAGACACCTTCAGGTGCGCGACAACCCGGGACCATGCTGCCTCCCCAGGAAGAGAGCCCGTGCAGGGGCTCTCACAAAGGGTTCTCGTCCATCACCGTCACGGCCAGGCGTGTGGGTCCCCCGGCTGGCACTGTGCTGTGGAAGAGCTCAGAAGACCCACTGTGCACCCAGTGCGGGGCCGGGGATGCCCTGCTCACGGTCCCCCCTGCTCCGACCCGTGGTGCAGAGCCAGGAGGGTCTCGCAGACTGTTTGCATGCACAGAGTTCTCCAGCAAGGGCTCTGTGATGCAGCTGAAGGTCCCTGAGGCCCACCCGTGGCTGTGGGAGGGACACGAGTACTGGGTCACTAATGGGGATGGGAGAGAGAACAGCTTTTCTCCAGGCAGCTCGCCCCCGGAGAAGGGTCCGCTGCTGTTCAGCTCCTGTGTCCACCTCCGAGTTTCTCAGCCATGTCCGAATTCCATCTACTATCTGGACAAGTCGCTCTCTGTCCCCATCCCGCCACCTCCAGTTGCCAGCCCCAAAGTGCACAGAGCCTTCCTGTCCCTCAACCTAAGTTGCCGTTCCCACAGATCAACACCAGATGGCGTCGGCGGCCTGGCTAATGGGGAGCCAATGAGCAGTGCCCGGAGGCCCAAGTCCACGGAGCTAGAGCAGAGTGGTCTAGGCCCAGGCTGGGCTCCTGGGCTGCGGGACAGCTGCTGGGAGCAAAGCCCGGCATTGGCGCGGGCGCGTGTGGGGAACCGCACGTGTTCTTGGAGCAGCTCGCCGGCCTTGGGAAATACAGGACTTGCCGGCGTGGAAACAGACCACGGCACCGTAAGAAAGGGGACAGGAGACCACGGGACTGGTTACCACGCTGGCAGCCACGCCGACCAGCTGACCATCCACATCCCTGGCTGGAGCTACACGGCAGGTGAGTGACCACTGACCCTTGCCTCAGGGAGGGGTGTAAATAGCCGGCCAGGATGGATTTTCAGGGCTCCTTTTACACGCAGGACCCGAGAGGCAGCTCTCAGGAGCGGTTCCCTGGGATGCTCCGAGCAGGCCATCGAGAGCTCGCGTGTGGATGTCTGAGTTAGGTCAGTTTCTTAGAGGACACTTGCAGATCAGGAGACACCACCTCTCAGGTGTTTGTTTCACACTCTCTGCAGTGAGCGTGGAAATAGAGCCCCAAGAAGGGTTCCTTTAGACTGTGCCCACCCCATTCCAGAACAGGAGAGGGACACAATGCTGTCCACCCTCCAGAGGCTTTGTTGTCCTGTGGCAAACATCTGCGGTGTGGAAGTGTCCCCAATTCCACACTTGTAACTTGTCAATCACAGTTAGCATTTATAGATCAGCCTTAGAAACCTAGCTGACCGCGTTCTGTGATGGAGTGTATATGTGTGTGTGTATTACAGATGGATAAATGGACAGATGGACAGAGTCAGTCAGTCCTGCAGTGGCACAAACGGTTGGCACTGGACTCCTAACCTAAAGGTTGCCGGTTTGAACCTGCTGAGCAGTGCCACAGTAGAAAGGCCTGGCAATCTGCCACTGTGT